AAAAAAGATATATTTATTTATTATGTATGCAGTGTTATACCCGCATATATGCCTACATGCCAGAAGAGGGCACCAGATCTCATTACAGATGGTTGTGAGCCACCATGTGGTTTCTGGGAATTGAACTCAGGACCTCTGGAAGAGCAGCCAGTGCTCTTAACTGCTGAGCCACCAGCCCCCTCTTTCAGTTTTTTTTTTATATAGTGGATTACATTTACTGATTTTTGTATGTTTAACCAACCCTATATCTCTGGGATGTAGCCTACTTGATTATGGTGGATGATCTTTTTTGATGTGTTCTTGGATTCAGTGTGCAAGTATTTTATTGAATATTTTTGCATCATTGTTCATGAGGGAAGTTGGACTGCAATTCTTTTTTTGTTGAATCTTTGTGTAGTTTGGGTATTAGGATGATTGTAGCCTCATAAAATGAATTTGGCAATGTTCCTTCTCTTTCTTTGTTTTGGAATAATTTGAGGAGTATTGATATTAGCTCTTCTTTGAAAGCCTGGTAGAATTCTGCACTAAACCTCCTGGTCCTGGACTTTTTTTTTTTTTGGAAACTTTTAATGACTACTTCTATTTCCTTAGGGGTTATAGGTCTATGTACGTTGTTTATCTGATCTTGATTTAACTTTGGTAAGTGGTGTCTATCAAGGAATTTGTCCATTTCTTTTAGATTTTCCAAATTTGTGGAGTACTGCTTCTTGAAGTATGACCTAATGATTCTTTGGATTTCCTTGGTGTCTGATGTTATGTCTTCCTTTTTGTTTCTGATTTGTTAATTTAGATATGCTTTCCCTGTCTTTTAGTTAGTTTGGATAAGGGTGTGTCTGTCTTGTTGATTTTCTCAAAGAACCAACTCTTTGTTTCATTGATTCTTTGTGGTGTTCTCTTTGTTTCTGTTTTATTGATCTCAGCCCTCAGTACAATTATTTCCTGCCGTCTCCTCCTCTTGGGTGAGTTTGCTTTTTTCCTTCTAGAGCTTCCAGGTGTGCTGTTAAGTCACTAGTGTGAGATCTTTGCAAATTCCTCATGAAGGCACTTGGTGCTATGAACTTTCCTCTTAGCGCTGCTTTTATGCATCCCTTAAGTTTGGGTATGTTGTGCATTCATTTTCATTGAATTCTAGGAAATCTTTAATTTCTTTATTTTTTCTTTAACCCAGTGGTGATTCAGTTTAGAGTTGCTCAGTATCAATGGACTCAAATTCCCCAATAAAAAGACACAGTCTAACAGAATCCATCCTTCTTCTGCATACAAGAAAGACATCTCAACATCAAAGATAGATATTATCTCAGAGTAAAGCGTTGAAAAAAGATTTTCCAAGCAAATAAACCTAAGAAACAAGCTGATGTAGCCATTCTAATATCTAACAAAACAGACTTCAAACCAAAATTTAAAAAAAAAAAAAAAGACAGGGAATGACACTCCATACTCACCAAAGGAAAAAAAATCCATCAAGATGATTTTTCAATTCTTAATATACCCCCAAAACAGGGACACCCACATTTGTAAAAGAAACTTTACAAAAGCTTAAATGATGTATTGAAACACAGGCATTAATAGTGGGAGACTTCAATACCCCACTCTCACCAATGGATAGGTCATCTAGATAAACAGAGAAATACTGGAGCTCACAGAATTATAAACCAAATTATAAACAGATATCTACAGAACATTTCACCCAGACACAGAAGAATATATCTTCTTCTCAGCAACTCATGGAACATTCTCCAAAACTGACCACAGAGTCAGATACCAAGCAAATCTCAATAGGTACAAGAAAATTTAAATAACCCCCTACACATCCTATCAGACCATCATGGATTAAAGATGGATTTCAACAACAACAGAAAGCCTACAAACTCATGGAAACTGAACAATTCTTTATTGAATGACTACTGGGTCAAGGAAGAAATAAAGAAATTAAATGAATGCACAACATACCCAAACTTAAGGGACGCATAAAAGCAGCGCTAAGAGGAAAGTTCATAGCACCAAGTGCCTTCATGAGGAATTTGCAAAAATCTCACACTAGTGACTTAACAGCACACCTGGAAGCTCTAGAAGGAAAAAAGCAAACTCACCCAAGAGGAGGAGACGGCAGGAAATAATTGTACTGAGGGCTGAGATCAATAAAACAGAAACAAAGAGAACACCACAAAGAATCAATGAAACAAAGAGTTGGTTCTTTGAGAAAATTAACAACATGGACAAACCATTATCCAAACTAACTAAAAAGCAGAGAGAGAATTTCCAAATCAACAAAATCAGAAATGAACAGGGAGACATAACAACAGGCACTGTGGAAATCCAGAGAATCATCAGGTTATACTTCAAAAACCTGTATTCCACAAATTTGGAAAATCTAAAAGAAATGGACAAATTTCTTGATAGATACCTCGTACCAAAACTAAATCAGGATTAGATAAACAATTTAAATAGACCCATTACCCCTAAAGAAACAGAAACAGTCATTAAAAGTCTCCCAACCAAAAAAAGCCAGGGCAGATAGTTTCAGTGCAGAATTCTACCAGAATTTCAAAGAAGAGCCAGTACTCCTCAAATTGTTCCACACAATAGAAACAGAAGGAACATTGCCAAACTCTTTTTATGAGGCATAGAGCACTCTTAACCATTGAGTGTCTCTCTCTCCAGGGCCTGCACAGTGACATGTTAAAAGTCTTAATTGCCGGGCGGTGGTGGCGCACGCCTTTAATCCCAGCACTCGGGAGGCAGAGGCCGGCGGATCTCTGTGAGTTCGAGGCCAGCCTGGTCTCCAAAGCGAGTTCCAGGAAAGGCGCAAAGCTACACAGAGAAACCCTGTCTCGAAAAACCAAAAAAAAAAAAAAAAAAAAAAAAAAAAAAGTCTTAATTGTTTTTCTTCTTGACATATTCAAGAAGCATTTACCAGGACAGAAACAGTGGCTGACTTGTAGCTAGAGTTTTCCTGCCTGACCCACAGTCAGGACAAATCTCTCTCACCTGCCAGTCCCACAGCCGCTCAGACCCAACCAAGTAAACACAGAGACTTATATTGCTTACAAACTGTATGGCCGTGGCAGGCTTCTTGCTAACTGTTCTTATAGCTTAAATTAATCCATTTCTATTAATCTATACCTTGCCACGTGGCTCGTGGCTTACCGGCATCTTCACATGCTATTTGTCATTGTGGCGGCTGGCAGTGTCTCTCCTCTGCCTTCCACTTCCTGGTTTTATTCTCCTCCTTGTCCCGCCTATACTTCCTGCCTAGCCACTGGCCAATCAGTGATTTATTTATTGACCAATCAGCAACACACTTGACATAAAGACCATCCCACAGCACTGACTTATTAGTGTTGTTGGTGTGTTATCAGGGATAGATTCCAGGTCCAGCAAGCACTCTCCTACTGAATGCAGCCCCTGACTTGGTTTGGTGTCTTCCTGTACCAGCGCCTATGGGGACTTCACTGGGATTTGGGGAGGGAACAGTGAACACACTGACTGCACAGCATTTTAGAAGAGCTAATGTGAAGCAAGCCCTGTCTGCCAGGACCTTTGCTCGGTCCTGCATAGCCAATGTTTCTGCCTTGTGTGGTCTGTTCTGGTCCCTGTGTCCTTGGTGGGGAAGCAGAAGCTCCTGAAGGTAGAACCAGTGTGAACAGTGAGCCAGCCTGTGCTCAAGTCCTTTTCTTGCCTTGAGTATATGCTTTAGGTTCTGTTATCCTATCAAATGTCTGCCCAGTGCACAAGTACACTTGGAGTGTTGGAGCTAGGTTCTAGGCAGACACCTAACTGGGAAATGGGAAATGTGTGTATTGGTGTCTGCCCATGGCCCAAGTGACAGGATGAGGGGGTATGCTGTTTGCTCACACTGATCACACTTGCTGCCAGGCATTCGAGGCCTAGCCTGGATCCAAGCTTCCTTACCTCCCCATTTCCTCATTTCTATTCTTTGTTGATTCTTTCCTTGTGCATCATTGTTTTAGGGACCCAGTCTCTCTAAGACTCCTCCAGATGAGGTCAGGCCTGGCACACGTCGCCTTGAATTATTATTGCCCGCATTGTATATTGGGGTTACCTCATTTAACACTGTTAGCAGCACGTGGCTTCCACTGCTGGGTGGTTAGGAGGGCCCATTGCTCCTGGGAGGCCTTGTCTCTGCCCTCGGCTGCCACCTGTATAAAATGGTGGCTTCAGAGTGGACAGCAGAGGATGCTGACCCGTGGGCCAGACACGCCTCCTGACGTCGGTGCCTGTGTCATCAGCTCTGGTGGCACACATTCATGACCCCAGCAGTGGCAAGGCTGAGGCAGGAAGAGTTTGAGTTTGAAGATGACTGAGTGAGTTTCAGGATAGTCTGGGCTACATAGTGAGACAGACTCCGTCTCACACACTGGCAGAAGCAGCAGCACTCAGAGGAAAGAAGAGACAAGAAGAAAGTAACAACCCTTTACCCTTCCAGTTTTCCTACCGCTTTGGAAGACATCTTCAAGATCTGGCTATGGCTCTGTAGTGTGCCTGTCCTCTGGAGTAAATGTCCTCTGCCTGTGACCACTCTCTTCTTGATGAGTAGGATTTTTATGTGGGTATGAAGAAAACTGATGGTACAACAACCCACATAATGGTTGGTAGGGATTTTAATAATGAAGTCAGGTCATGGTATATATGGTATGAAGGCTATTAATGTCAAGTGTCTGTCGGCTACCAGTGAGACGTGTGACAGACAGTACCAGCAGTTGATGGGAAGTGTAGTGGGCATGCTGACCACTTCATTCATTATGCAGCCCCTGCTGGGAAAGACGGTAGCATGAACGTTGAGGCTGTTGAGCTTGCAGGTTTGGGCCAGAAAATCCTGTTGTTGCCTTTCACTAGCCGTGTGATCTTGAGCACGTACGTTACCCAACATGCCCCACCTAACTATCCCCCCACTCGCCACAGTGCCATTTTATTTGGGATTGCTTCTAAGTGTAGACTTCAAGTTCATGTTTGTTTATTTGTCTTACTTCGTATCCCAGGATGGCTTCAAAACTACCATTCTCCTGCCCAGAACTCCCCTGCTGTAATCCCTGGGATTTCAGGTATGTGCCTCACTTGGCTCAAGTTACCCTTAAAAGTTCTGTGGTTTGCCCATGACGTTGTCACGTAGTCACTTTGCTACAAGGATGAAGCGTCACCGTCTTTTCTGTCACCTGCCTTGGTTTATAACCCCGGGGATGAAGAATGGCTGTAGAGAAATACTGGCTGTTTCTGCCACTTGGGCCTCGGTGCCCACTCTGCTAATGGTGACTACCATGAGCAGTGGTGTGGCTTGGACGGAGACAGCAATAATGGGTACTGTGGGACTTCCAGGTGACTGGCTTACTGGGGAACAGGAGGTGTTCTTCTCTTTGTGCTTGGCAACTGCAGCCTACTGTCCTTGTCCTTGTCTGGTGTGCACTGGTGTCACAGAGGGTTGGACTTCCCTTGGGCTCGTGTCCTGTTTATCAGTGGTCTGATGAAACTCTTCAGACTCAGGGCCTGCTGCTGTGTCATTTGGAAGGGACGCAGGCTCAGCATAGCCTGTCCTACCCCACCTCATCCCTCCTTCTCCATAAAGCCTGGTGTTAACTGCCAGCTCAGTTAACAGTAGGTCACAGGCCTGGGGAACAAATCGTAAACCACCATTTCTATGTTGTTGGCTTGTCTTCAGGAAGACAGAAAGGATTGTATTTTCTTGGCTCCTCAGTCCTTGCTATTCCCACCTTTCCCCACATGAATATGAGTTACAGAAGGATGTGTGCTGGGCATTTGACTGTGCCATAGAGAACTGGGTTCAGTAAGAACAGTCCTCGGGTAGCTTGTTTCATATGTTCTTTTTGTGTAATTGAATATTTTATCTGAATTTAAACAGCAATATGCTGATCCACAGTCACCCATCTCTCCCAGTGGTGGGTAACCAGAACTGAAGGATGCATATAAATGTATACAAATCTTATGCCCAAGTAACATGTGCATCTGCTTTATATTTTTCCCCCAAATGTGATCCCAGTAGCCTTGCTTGTAAATCTAGGTTTGTATGTTTTTTAAAATATATTTTGTGTATGTGTTTGCTTGCATATGTGTCTGTGCAACACATGCACTCATGATGCTCATAGAGGCTGGAAGAGGGTGTTGGATTCCCTGGCACTGGAATTTAGAGGTTGTCAGCTGCTGTCTGGGTGTTGGGATTTGAACTGGGATCCTCTAAAGAGCAGTGAGTGTTCTTAGTCACTAAGCTGTTTCTCCATCCCCTCCAGTTCTGTTGGGACATACCCATTTGTTAGTATCACTGATACCTGTTTTCATGAGACAGTAGTAGAGCTGAATAGCTCCAGCAGAGACCTGGTGGTCCTCATACCCCAAAATAGTTATCATGTGACATTTGGAGGAAGTTAGAGGTCCCAGACCTGCCTTGCCTTTTCCAGATACCATTGCCACTCAACAGAACTTCTCTGGATCATCCTTTCTGTATCAGAATATTTGGAATCACCATGGATGTGCTGTCTGTTCACAACTCATTCTCTGCATGTACAGGCTGGCAGGTGAGGGTGAGCAGTGCAGAGTGCAGGCTGGGGGTGAGGGTGAGCAGTGCAGAGTGCAGGCTGGGGGTGGGGGTGAGCAGTGCAGAGTGCAGACTGGGGGTGGGGTGAGCAGTGCAGAGTGCAGGCTGGAGGAGGGGTGAGCAGTGCAGAGTGCAGGCTGGAGGTGGGGTGAGCAGTGCAGAGTGCAGGCTGGGGGTGAGGGTGAGCAGTGCAGAGTGCAGGCTGGGGGTGAGGGTGAGCAGTGCAGAGTGCAGGCTGGGGGTGAGGGTGAGCAGTGCAGAGTGCAGGCTGGGGTGGGGTGAGCAGTGCAGAGTGCAGGCTGGGGGTGAGGGTGAGCAGTGCAGAGTGCAGGCTGGGGGTGGGGTGAGCAGTGCAGAGTGAAGGCTGGAGGAGGGGTGAGCAGTGCAGAGTGCAGGCTGGAGGAGGGGTGAGCAGTGCAGAGTGAAGGCTGGGGGTGGGGTGAGCAGTGCAGAGTGAAGGCTGGGGGTGGGGTGAGCAGTGCAGAGTGAAGGCTGGAGGAGGGGTGAGCAGTGCAGAGTGCAGGCTGGGGGTGGGGTGAGCAGTGCAGAGTGCAGGCTGGAGGAGGGATGAGCACAAAGATCTCTGTGCCTCTTGCAGACACAGACCTACGATAGAATTGACCCTGGAAGTCAGTGTCATTTTTATCCAGATCTTAACTAACCCTCCACCAGCATTCATACACACCTACCACCTCCACCTGCCAGCCTGCCTTCTGCTTCGGCCCAGACTAGACGTGGGAACTATGATTCTCCTATTAGAAAGGTCTACTGGGACCTGCAGCTTTCTTCTAGTAATAACTTCTCCCACCTTTAGCAGACAGTTGAAACCAGCAGACAGCAGCAAGGACATGCGGTGTTTCACAGACCCGAGAAGCCTGGGGTGCAGATATGGCTGGATGTGGTGCTCAGAGTGTGTTCCACGAGAGCCAGCACTGTGCATTCATTCTGTTTCCAGACCAGGGTTCTTCCCGTTTAGGCAAGGGAGGCAGGGAGGGCAGGTGCAGTAGCACAGAAGCCCTGGGGCTCAGGGTTCGCACGGGCTCTGCAGTGGCAGGAGCAGAGGTGGACTGAGCAGGAGAGGTGGACAGGGATCAGAAGAAATGGCCCAATTCTGCTTCCGTGTTGCGTCCTCGCCAGCGGCACTCGGCCCCACATCTTGGGTTGTTTCCAAGCACGTCAGAAACGGAATTCTGCCTTTAAAGGGATGGTGACTTTTAGGCACCTAAAATATTTTTCTTTTCTTTCTTTCTTTTTTTTTTTTTTTTGAAATTTCTGACATTGTTTGAATTTAATGATTCATATTACGAATTATTCATGAAAATGATCTTTTAAGCGTCTTATAATAGCTGAAATTATCCTTCATTAGATACTGACAGTTCCTGTGATGGGTGTAATTATAAAAAAATATTCTTAGGCTAGCTATATTCTGCAGTGTTAAAATTACGCAAATGAGCAAGGGACAGGAATAGAAGCTGAGTAGGATGGTCAGGTTTCATGGCGGGGGGGGCGCTGCAGACTTTCTAAAAATGAATAAATATGTGCTTGTGTGCACAGTAAGCATGCTCCCGGACAGTCTGCCGTGCTGCTCAGCCACTCTCCCTGGCAAGGGAGCAAAGGAACCAGCGACTGGCTTGCGTGCCGCTCTTGCCCATGTATGAATTGTGGGATGGAGAAGTTGTTTTTTTTTTTTTAAGCTTTGTTCACTCAGCATTTTCTGCAAGGCACACTGTAGTAATCTCAGATACTTGTGGAGGGTAGCAGGCTTGTGTTAACACAGATAGCGTTTTGTAAGGAAGGGAGAGATGGAATAGGAAGTGTAAGGCCCTGGGGCTGGGGCAGCCACCTTGGTTAATTTGACCTCATCATGTTTATGGTACAGGACAGCAGGGGCACAGGTTCAAGGCTCGTGGGGACCACTTGATTTCTTGAGTTTGATCTTGGTACCTTCTCTAAGGTTCTTATCTTTGACTGTTCTTGAACTTGTAACCCTCTTGTCTCAATCTTCTGGTATCTGGGATTCTAGGCATGCTACTCTGCCTGGCTTAGGTTCCCTTTTTTTCTTTTCAGGATTGGAGATGAAGTCAGGACCACACGTGTACTAGATAAGCATTTGTCACTGACCACAACCCTAGACGTCTTTCACTTTTATTTTGGGACAAGTTTCACAAAGTTGTCTAGGTTGGTCTCGAACTTGTTCTATATAGTCCAGACTGGTTTTAAACTTGAAATCCTGCCTCAGCTTCCTGAGTAGCTTGGATGACAGGTCTGTACCACTATGCCTGGACTTCTCTTGGTATCATTGTGGGAAATGTGCAGAACAGAGGAGGGAGCGCCCATCCAGTTTATTGTGGTGTCATGGTGCTGGTTCTTTGCTTGTCCAAGCTCTATGCATTGTCCTGCCTACTCAGTTCCATTCAGGTCTTCGCATGCTATGCTTCCTCTTACAGCCCCCAAAGAGAGGTGAGCTAGTTCCCGCAGGTGCCACCTCTGGCCCTGCTCTCTCAGGCTCACTCACCAGCAGTGCTGTGGAGTCAACTCTTCCATCTTCCCATTTTTGACCAGTACCATTAATAAAGCCGTAGGTAGAGAGGGTGATGAAAATTTATGGAGACTAACGTTTCAGTGTGCCAGCTGCCAGGCACAGCTCTAAGCAGCATACACTTGATTGATCTTCATGCCTGTCCTGAATTGCTAGGTGTGATGATGATCTTCATTCATCCAAGGAGGAAACAGAATTTAGCTAAAGTCACACAGAAGATTAGGAAGTGAGACAATGGTGTCACGTTTCTTTGGGCTGGTGATAGATGGTGTGGGGGAAGTGCTTTGCTTGCTCTTCAAAAGGGTGCTCAAGCCTACACGTCCAGGGTATTCCACAAAGCACAGCCCACAAGTATAAGTTTTTCCTATTCATTACTTCATTCATTCATTCATTCATTCAATTGTTTGCTGGTTCATTCATCCTTCCTTTCCCTCCTTCCTTCCTTGAGACAGGGTCTTGTGTATCCCAAGTTGACTTCAAACTTTCTTTGTAGTAGGGGGTACCCTGGAGCTCTTATCCGCACCTCAAATGCTGGGTCACAAGCATGCACTGCTAGACCTGTTTTGTGCAGTGGTGGGACTCATGGAGGCTAGGCAGGCATCTGCCCGCTGGGCTACATCCACAGCCACCACTTGTTGTTTATTTGGACTCTGTCCTGTTTGTCTTAGTGCTAGACATGTAGGTGAATCCTGCACTGCTTTATGACATGTCACTGAGCTGGGGTAGATCACAGTCTCCTGACCTGTGTGGTTTCCTTCCCAAGGATGCACAGCCCTCACTGTGTCTCCAGATGACACAGTGTCATTGTGTGTTCTCTGTTACACCTGGGTGCCAAAGGCCAGAGATTGGCAAATGTTTTTCTCCAAGTTACAGGCCCAAGGAGTTTAGGCTTCCACTGGCTTCTGCTTGGTCTTCATTCTTTCTCCTGTTTCCCCCATTCATCTTCCTTCTCCTCGCCC